GCGCGGGGCGCTGCCGCAGCAGGATGCGCTGCAGGTCCATCAGGTCTGCGGTCTGGCCCATCACCTCCTCATAAACCATGCCCTCAGCGGCGATGCCTTTTTGGGGGGGCAGGAGGGGGTGGGGTCGGGGTCAGAGCGCGGTCGGCGCGGGGTCGGTACACGGGTTGTGTTTGTGTGCGTGCATGCGTGTGTGTGTGTGTGTGTACAATGTGTGTGTGTGTGTGTGTGTGTGTGTGTGTATGGTGCGTATGTGTCAGTGTGTGGGCATGAGCAAGTGGTCTGAAACCTGAATCTGAAGGCTGGGCCAAAAGAGAAAAAACTCGGAGAAGCAAGGGGATACGAGCCAAAACTGCAGCAAGCATACGGGGCGAAAGGAGGGGACGGGGGCGCGCGACAGGGCGCCTCGTCGCCTGCAGCGGTGCAGGTGCTGCGCGGCGCGGCGGCAGCCCCGAGACCCATGCTTTTGACGGCCGCTCACCGGCGACGCTGACTGCGGCCAGGGCGTCCACCTCCTTCTCAGACAGGTCCTTCGTGAAAATACGCGCCTGCGGTTGGGGCAGCAACGGGCGCGGCCGTCCAGCGGCACACCTTTCAAAACAGAAACCGGCCGCAACGGCCCCGCACGAGCGGCCGCATGTAGCTATCATCGCTGCGCGTGCGCGTGGTTTCACTGCATAGCGTGCGCAGCGAGCTCCTTTGGTGTGCGCGGGCAGCCCTGACGGTATGTGCCGCCCCGCCGCTCTCCCACCTGCAGCTTGGCCTCTGCAAACTCGACATGCTCCCGCGTCATGGCCACGCTGTAGCCCGTCACCGGGACACCCAGCAGGTAGCCGACCTGGTTCGCGTGACATCATGGTGACGTCATCGTCAGGGGTCGGCGCGGCGTCAACGGAGGCGGACCGCGCCACTGGCGCGGTAACAACAGGCGTCGGTCAAGAACTCCTGCTGGCCGTGCTGCAGGGGACCTTCGTGCCTGAACTGCGTTCTGCACGGCAGCGACAAACATCACAGGTGCGGGCCAGGGAGCCGGCGACGCTGCTGCATCACGGACCCAGCGCGCCCCCCTCGCACCAGGAAGTGCGCCGCCTCGTGCGACAGCACGCGCTGCTTGTAGTCCGGGAACCTGCCGGGCCGACGTGGGGGAGGCGCCCGCCGCGCAGGACGTCAGCAAACAACACCAAACGACAACAGCTGCGGCCTACCTGCCACCGGTGCCCCTCGCGCGGCCCTCCAGAGAGCAGCCAGGTGCACGACCCCGCACGATCCCGCACCCCAGCCTTGCGCCTGCGCTCGCACCACACCCCTGGGATCGGCCCCTGCGCTCCGCAGCGCAGGCTCCCCCTCCCCGTCCCCGCTCCGGACGGCGACCGCGTCACCCCGGTGACTCACAGCTGGCTGAACTGGTCGATGACCACCTGCAGCAGGCCGGGGGCGGTGGAGCCAATGCCCATGACCACCAGGATCATGGCGCCAGACAGGTAGGAACCGAAGAAGCCCTGGGAACGGTCGGGTTGGCGGCAGCAGCGGTTGGGGGCAGCACCCATGGGGGCGGGCATCGGCCGCGGCAGCCAGACTGGCGGGCACACTCCTTTGGTGTACATGCGGGGTGCAGCTGAGGCACTCGGGCACCCGTCGACTCGCTGTGTCTTTCGCGATGTGCGCTCCGCCGGGGAGGCTCACCCAGTCGCCTGGCAGCTGCCCGAGGGCGACCGCCAGCACGCTGAAGCCAACAACCGTGGTCGCCTGCGGGCCGGGGCCGCAAGATGGCAGGGGGCCGCGCGCGGTCGCAGGAGGTCAGCAGCTGGGACGATGCTGCTTCGGCGCGCCTGCGCCACACACGCATGCAGCTGGCAGCCAAAACCACGAGCCTGACGGGGGTTGTGGCGTGACGCATGCTGAAGCAAGGCGGCTTTCGCAGGGAGAAAAGCCCCAAAGCGAGGGCCTGCGCTGGTCCCGGCTTACAAGGAACGTGGCGTCGTTGCGGATGGAGGGCACCGCCAGCTTGTCGGGGCTCTTTATGCCGACCTGCCGCAGCTCCCCAGGGAACACGTTGCGGCGCGCGGGCAGGGCCTCGTTGGCGGCACCCCACTTTGGCAGCGCACCGGCGGCCTTGAGGGACTCGAAGGAGGCCTTCACATCAGCGGAGAAGTCCAGCTTCTGTGGGGGTGGGCGGACGGCGCGGGCGGGCGCGGGTTGAGCGCGTGTTGGCGAGCCCCAACACTGAGCGGGTGCGGGTGCCGGGTCGGGCACGCTGCCCCTGGGTTAATCGGAGGTGTGGGTAGGGAGCGAGGTAGGATGCCGGGACGCTCACCAGGGAAGGGGGGGACTTCTTGTAGGCCTGGCAGGCCTGGTCCAGCTCTGAGGGAGGGGTGGGGGGTTGGGTAGGCGCCGCGGGTCTGGGGGCATTTGGGACACACGTGCGCAGTCCGCCAACAGCGCTGCACCAGACCAGAAGAGCCGAACCAGCCCCGATGATGGCGGGGATGGAGGCCTGCCCAGGTGCTCGCCCGTGCACCTGTGAAGAGGGCCGGGGCCGCCGCTGGGGTGGCGACCTCCGCAGCGCGGCGCTGCACAAGGGTGCGCGCCGCGGGGCGCGCAGGGCCAAAGGGACGCACATTGCGGCCAGCCGCATAGTTTCGAAGTTGAGTCTGCATGATGATTAGAAAACGGCTGTCCAAAACAGGCGTCCAGGCAGCGGCGTTTGGCGGGAGAGCGATGCGCAAGACGTGTGAAAGATTGCGGGAGACGAACGATAGACGAGTAGAATAATCGGGGTTTTGGAAATGTATAACTGGCAAGCAACCGTTCAATGGATTCCTGTTCCTTCGCGTGGTCGATGCGTGGCGCGGCGCTGAGCTGCCGCTGAGCTGTGGCTGTCGTTCCGTGGTGCACCCGTGGCTCACGCTGGCGTCCACTGTCGGCTCCCTGGCCATACAGCCACCACCTTTAGAACGGCATGACTGCCTCATGCAGACTGTGCTGAGACACATGCTCGCCAGCAACGCACCTGCACTTCGTGTTGGGCGTCGTGGCGGAGGGCTCAACCGAAACAACCGTCCTGGCTCTGCAACCAGTGCAGGTTACAAACTCGTCACCTGGGGAGTTCTTAGCAGGAATCATCAGCCTGTAAGCACAGTGCCTCTGCGGTTGAATGTGTGAAGTCATCGTCAACAGACCTGACAGGACGCATTCGTCACTTGCACCCGCATCCCGCCCAGATCCCGCCTGCATGCCAAAGTTCACAGCTCAACTACAGTACAGTCTGCGCAGCCGTATGTTGACCCCTCGCCCAAGCAATAACCGAATACACGAGTCCAATTGAGGAGATAGCTCTTGTGCCCATCACCTCATCACACCCAAGTTGCAAGTGATCTGTTCCTTCACTAGCCAGCAGCAGCGGTCCGCGGGCAACATGGGCCTGGATGAGCAGATCTCCACGGCCAAGGGCCTCATAGACAGCGATCCTAAGCAGGCAGAGCAGGAGCTCAGGAAGCTCGTCTTTGATGTGCCGGGGACGGACGTAGAGACCACCAGGGTCAAAGAGCAGGCGATAGGGGCTCTGGCAGAGGCGTATGTGAAGCTGCAGGACGCCCAGAGCCTGGCTGATCTGCTGTCGCAACTGAGGGAGTTTTTCGGAGCAATCCCTAAGGCCAAGACAGCCAAGATCGTGCGAGGAATCATCGATCAGATAGCCAAGATCCCCAACTCGACGCAGCTGCAGGTAGTGAGCGATTCGTGCGGGACAGCCCGCTGCAGTGCGCGCATCGCCGCAGCTTGATGTTGTGAAGCGCATGCAGATGGATGCAATGATTGTGCATGGGGCATGCGCATTGGCCTAAGCCTGACGATGCAAGGCAAGGAGACTGCACACCAACCGCTCACCATGATCCATCATCGAGGCCGTGAGCAATGACACAGCCGTGAATCACTGGGTCGCGCTTGGCTCCTGACTCAACCTCTGCTCAATCGTCGTCCTGCCCCACCCAGGTGGTGGTGTGCAAGGAGCAGGTGGAATGGGCGCGCACGGAGAAGCGCACGTTCCTGCGGCAGCGGATTGAGCTGCGGCTGGCGGCGCTGTACCTGGAGCTGCAGGACTACCCCACGGCGCTGGGCATTCTGGGCACGTGAGCAGCATAAGAGACACTGCGACCCGTGCACGCCGCAGCTGGCTTGGTGCATTGCTGAGGGCAGCGGTTCTTGCAGCTGTCAGGGTTGCCAGCTGCCCCCCCGCAGCATGCCATGGCGTCCTTCACAGCGACGCACGCAGATTGACCTGCCGTTGGCACCAGCCCAGCTAACCGATGTTGCCCATCTTGCCTCGTGTGTGGTGCATGGCGCCCTGTCCCTTGATTCACGTGCAGCCTGAATAGCGAGGTGAAGAAGCTGGATGACAAACTGCTGCTGGTCGACATCCACCTGCTGGAGAGCAAGGGTGAGCAGTGGGCAAGGGGGGGGGTGCACCCAGGCAGGAAGTGGCGCCTGCGCCTGAAGCAGCAGTAAATCGTCAGCATGGGTTTCCAGGAGCTTGGGGTCGCTGCGTTGAAGCACATACGTGCTTTCTACATTGCTGGTACGTGGGGTGATACGTGCAGGTGGTTGCAGCCGAGAAGCACCAGCGGCATCGTATACACTGCCCTCCTTCCTCCGTCCTATTTGCCCCCCGCAGTGCACCACGCCGTGCGCAACCTCCCCAAGTCGCGGGCGGCGCTGACCGCGGCGCGGACAGCAGCCAACGCCATCTACGTGCCAGTAGCGCTGCAGGCAGAGGTGGGCGGCCTTGACAGCAGGCTTGGCAGGCGCCCTGCAGGAGTGTGCCCTGCTGCCCGCGGCTGTAAGGGCGCCCCTTCAAGCGTCCAGGGGACACTCCGTGGCGCCCAGCTGGCGGTGCCCAGCTGAATAGCGGGTCGCTGAGTAACAGCGACCAAAAGGGATGGAAAGCACAGCATGCCAACGGCTCGTACACGTCGGCGCAGCATTACGGATTATGCCTCCGTGCCTCGCGCAGATTGACACACAGAGCGGGGTGCTGCACGCAGAGGAGCGGGACTACAAGGTGGGGGCGGCGCATGGGTGGGGGTTGCAGCATGCTGGCAGCGCTTGCAGCGGTGTTTGAAGCAGCTCCGTTATGCTGAGGTAGCTGTGCTAATTGGTATGTCAAGAGTTCGCATCGGCACACGACCCTTCGGTCTGTCAGTCTGAGGGACTGCTTCAACGCCCGCCCACTCAACTTGCCTCTTTTACTGTTCCTCTGTCCCCCACCTTTACTTGCCGCCCATCGTGTTACTCATGCGGTCAACCCTCATTCACGCCTACCATTTCTCTCTCTCTCCCTCCCCCCCCCTCTCTCTCTCTCTTCAACACACACACACACACACACACACACACACACACACACACACACACACACAAAACAAGCTCAATGTTACACGCACACACTCATGCGCCGCGCAATCGCAGACGGGATACTCATACTTCTTTGAGGCTTTCGAGCAGTTCAGCGCCCTGGGGGATGACAAGGCCATGTCGGCGCTCAAGTACATGCTGCTCTGCAAAATCATGCTGAATGAGTCAGGTGGGTGGAGGAGGGGTTGAGGTTGCGGGCGCCGCGTCTATCATGTGACTGGAGCCGGGCACAGCAGGGGTGCAGAGGTATCGGCATCAAAACTGCCGACCAAAACCCCATTGCTTGCCGGGCTAGCCCCAGGCTTCTCGCCCCTGCACCCGACGCTCTTGCTCACAACCCCGATCATCGATTCTGCAGGCGACGTCCCCGCGCTCATCAGCGCCAAGGCGGGCCTCAAGTACACCGGCCGCCCCGTGGACGCGATGCGCGCCGTCGCGCAGGCGTACCAGGAGCGCTCGCTGCAGGCCTTCCAGGTGCGGCCACCACGACTCGGGCGCAACCCCCGGCGCTGCCCAACCCTCACCCCCCTCCCACCACCTCATCTCGGCACCTCTTGGGCGCAAGCCGCGCCTCTCAAGGCGACTCTTCCTGGTGCTACAGCCCTGTTGAGGCCAACACCGCAACTTGTGCGTCCCC